ACAGTTTAAAAGTGCATGTCGTCTTCCCCATGGACCTCGCTTCTTAGTAATTAGCCAGCAGTATTTAGTTCAAATTGTCAAATAAGACTAACCCAGAAGACGTTGCTGATCCGCTGTGTCCTGACAAATCACACCTCCACAAGTAACTGGATTGCACTATTTGGTATATTTTACCAAACAATTAATGAAATGGGCTGTAGAGCATTAATTCTGTGATTAGAACTCCTAAGCTTAAATTCGCTTGAATCAGAACTAATTAATCCGCGCCCCAACAACAATGTAAGAGTAATATAAAACATTTTTTAGGCTGTAACTTGATTAACAGATTTTAAATTTATTTTTTAAATATTATTGATTTAAGTTTCATTAACTTTAGAATTACTATAAATTTATATAATTTTTAATTTTTAAGTTAATAGAATTAATTTTTAGGTCAATAAAATTAATTAAGATACGAAAGAACTAATATAAATAAATTTAAGTTTGAGTTAATTAATTAAATTTTAAATTTATTTTTAAAAAATTATAATTTAATTTTTATAAATCTTAAAGGTGCTAAAAACTTATATCATTATTAATTTTAAAATTTATATAATTAACTAAAATATACATAAACTAACTTAATCTAGATATTTATATTAATTAAAAAAAAAAGTATCATGCTGAGTAGTGGCATCCAAGTCAGTTCATGCACTATATATATATATATATATATTCTCTGCAAAAATCTGTTCCTTAATTTCATTGACCCGATCAAGTTGTTTATAACTTGAAACTTGGAATTAATTCCAGTTGATTATTACAAGATTTTTTCACATAAAAATGTTATGTGCTTCAGAAAATACTTTAGGATTTTCAACCTCATCATTTGCGGGTTCGGTGTTGATTAATCAATATTTACACGCTAGAAAACGATATCAAATGATTAGCACAGCGAGAATAACACGGTTTAGCCGCAGTCCTCCGCTGCAGGTCCCATTAAGAAAAAGAAATTAATTAGTTAGCTACTAAATACAAATCAACACCTCTCTCTCTCTCTCTCTCTCGTTAAGGATTTTTAAAACCAAAAATTAAGCAAAACGTTTACTTGTACGAAGTCGTTAACATTTTGTGAGAGATTTCTCCTTTCTTACGACAGAAGCAAGACAAAACCATGCCAACCAGAAAATGTGCTGATTTCACGTTACGTGGGACCCTTTAACACTCAACCACCGACCGGCCGCCCGCTTCATTTTATCCTTTCATACTGAAGTCTAACCACTGCTACGAAGTTTCTCAGAAAGATACTAACTAGCTTAATTTTACCAGAAATGAAATTATCAATTAGAAAATAAAATTAGCTGTAACATTCATTACAATATTGACAGTACTTCACATATTATTTAGAATTTCAAGTATTCTTTAGAAAAACTGTCAAAATAATTTATCATAATTGTATTTACTACTTGAAAGTTGATTGAAATCATGATGCAAGAGAGAAACACCATATTTGTTGAGAAAAAAAAAATAATTCGTCTAAAGAGAGTTAAAAGATTTCTTACCAGCAATGTTTCAAATTCCAAATTCCCAAAACCGTATAAAAATACAGTGGCCCATGACAGTTGTTGAGTGTCAGGACACTGGCAATGGTTAGATTTGGAATTAACTAAAACTCCAGCTTGAATCCCCCGCGGACACCCTATTTCCCACATGCCTTCACTGCCCACAGCTCACATTTCAACGCCAGCTGCGTTCGGCATTCCAGGGAAAAAGATAAACAACTGTCTCTCTCTCTCTGTCTCTCTCGCAGCACACCGCGTATAAAGAAACCCACGCATATAAATGAGCCATCGTCACCATTTTCATTCAGCAAAAGAAAACAACAAATAGAAACAGTTTTTTGTATTAGAAAGCTTTCACTACCAGCAGAACCTTCAATCTCGACCTCAGTCTCTTTTCACGCACAATATATAGCTACTTTTTGGTACTGAACTAGATCTGAAAATGGCGAAGAAAAATGGCAATGATGTTGCTCATAGAGCATGGAACATCCTGCGCCTAGCACTGTTGTGGGCAAGAAAAGGTGGTGTTTTCAAGAGGCGTTTGATAATGGATCATCTACGAGTTGTGCGTAAGTTTCTTAAAAGCCTGGGACAACATTCTCCTAGCAGGCGCCAGCTCCATTATGGAGAGCACGAACTCTCCTTCGACAAGACCCCCATTTTCCACGTCAAGATGCATCGCCCAGCCTCCATGCGATTCAACATCCCTTGCATAACCCCACGGGTTGACTTTGACTACGATTTTGATCATGAAGTTTGCGAAGATGGTATCCAGCAAGATGGATCAGTTTACGAGTGCTATGATGGAATGAGGAGGAGTTTCTTATTAAAAGGTGGAGATGAAGAAGATTACGAGACTTGTGAAGAGAAGATTCCAGCAGAGGAAGAAGGGATTGATATGAGAGCGGAGGAGTTCATAGCTAAGTTCCGCCAGCAGATGAGGCTTCAAAGACAGATCTCGTATCTACAGTACCATGAAACACCCAAAAAAGGAACAAGGGGATGATCCCAGACATCCACTGTCTTCTGAATAATTCTCTACAACGTTTTTGGTTGCCTTTGTTGTTAGCGGATTTAGCAGTTTCAGGACTTTTTTTCTTTTTTTGTGAAAGAGGCGTTGCTGCATTGTGTAGATACCGGAAACTTCCATTGATTTTTGAATAATTATGGTTGTATCGTCGTGCTTACATTTTATTCTTGAATAGATATTTCAATAAGAAAAAAAGATGAAGATGTTCCATTGACTCCGAAATTCGAAAAGATATATGCTGAACAGGAGAAAATATATACATCGTGAGATATGGAGTTCAAGCACAGACAGTGCGCAGGGACAGACAACCACTTTTTTAAACTTACTGGAATCGGCCTTACGAGACCATAAGATTTCCTGTCATGGCAGTCTGTTATTTGAGTTCATCAAGCAGAAAACAAGCTAAAAATATAGATGTAGAAGGAAACAATTTCAACCAAAATTTGTTGTGTAAATTTTGTTGACCAGTAAAAGATTAACACAGATATTTAAAATATTTTATTATATATATAAAATGTCATAAATAAAAAGTAATCAATAATATAATGTCATGAAAAAAATTTAGTACCTCTACAAATACAAATTCTTCAAGGAAGGGAGATTTATTAAAAGTTTTCAAGTATTTTTTATAGATAAAACTTATAATCTAAACACTCCTTAAGAAACTTAAGAAACAATTAGTAGTAAATTTCTTTGAAATTCTTCACCCTTGGGCTCGTTTAGTCTTGCTTTATTTTATTAGTCTTTTTAAAAATACAAAGTGTGTTTAACAACATTGTTGTGGTTATTATTTTAAGTAATTTTCATTAAAAAAAGTATATTAATAATTTTTTTTATTTTAAAATAACTATTTTTAAGATCAGTATATCAAAATAATTTTAAAATATTAAAAAAATATTAATTTAAAATAAAAAAATTTAAATTTTTTTTAAAAACACTTTTAAATTATAGTGTCAAATACTCCATTAGTTGTTATGTTCTTTGTAAAGTCAATAAAGCTACAAGATTAAATTCACTTATACTTTTAAAAAATAAAATTAAAAATTAGTTTTAAATTTTTTGTATTTTTTAAAATTATTTTAATATATTAATATAAAAAATAATTTAAAAAATATATTATTTTAATACCTTTCCAAACAAAATATATTTTAAAAAATAATATTTACTATAATTTTAAACGTGTCCTACATTTCAAACCAAAAAAAGTTGAAGTTGGGGAGTTCTCACCAACCGTATTAGAGAGTATTGAAATTGCCCAATGATTACGGTACTAACATGGTACAAGAAGTCATTCAAGTAGATATGCTTCAAAAATAACAAATAAAGTTGGGTTAGAAAAGACATTGTGGAAACTATGAAATAATCATTATAATATTTATTAATAATTTTATTGTATCTTATGTTAAAGAATGCAACTTGATTATTAATATAAACTATAATAGTGAAAATCTTCTGCTATTGTTGAGCTTATTCTTCAATTTAATTTAATTAAGATGAAATTTTTTATTTTAAAATAATAATAAATAAATAATAGACAATACTTTTAAGATTAAAAAAATATATATGTTTACAATCAAAATATAAATAATATTATGAAAAATAGATTTAATCTAAACATAATTTATGTTTTGTTAGTTTTCATTGAATATAAAAAATAAAGTATAAATGCATTTCTATTTTTTTGAGTTGGAAAAAATATTTTTAAACTTCGAGGAATTAACAAGTTTAAAAAAAAACATTAATGGAAAATAAAAACTAAAAAAATAAGTACTAAATTGAAATTGAAAAATAGAAAACATTCTATATTACTAAAAACTCCAGCTTGAATTCCCCCGCGGACACCCTATTTCCCACACGTCTTCACTGCCCACAGCTCACATTCAACGCCAGCTGCGTTCGGCATTCCAAGGAAAAAGTTACACCACTCTATCTCTCTCTCTCAGCACACCGCGTATAAAGAAACCCACGCATATAAATGAGCCATCGTCACCATTTTCATTCAGCAAAAGAAAACAACAAATAGAAACAGTTTTTTGTATTAGAAAGCTTTCACTACCAGCAGAACCTTCAATCTCGACCTCAGTCTCTTTTCACGCACAATATATAGCTACTTTTTGGTACTGAACTAGATCTGACAATGGCGAAGAAAAATGGCAATGATGTTGCTCATAGAGCATGGAACATCCTGCGCCTAGCACTGTTGTGGGCAAGAAAAGGTGGTGTTTTCAAGAGGCGTTTGATAATGGATCATCTACGAGTTGTGCGTAAGTTTCTTAAAAGCCTGGGACAACATTCTCCTAGCAGGCGCCAGCTCCATTATGGAGAGCACGAACTCTCCTTCGACAAGACCCCCATTTTCCACGTCAAGATGCATCGCCCAGCCTCCATGCGATTCAACATCCCTTGCATAACCCCACGGGTTGACTTTGACTACGATTTTGATCATGAAGTTTGTGACGATGGTATGCAGCAAGATGGATCAGTTTACGAGTGCTATGATGGAATGAGGAGGAGTTTCTTATTAAAAGGTGGAGATGAAGAAGATTACGAGACTTGTGAAGAGAAGATTCCAGCAGAGGAAGAAGGGATTGATATGAGAGCGGAGGAGTTCATAGCTAAGTTCCGCCAGCAGATGAGGCTTCAAAGACAGATCTCGTATCTACAGTACCATGAAACACCCAAGAAAGGAACAAGGGGATGATCCCAGACATCCACTGTCTTCTGAATAGTTCTCTACAACGTTTTTGGTTGCCTTTGTTGTTAGCGGATTTAGCAGTTTCAAGACTTTTTTTCTTTTTTGTGAAAGAGGCGTTGCTGCATTGTGTAGATACCGGAAACTTCCATTGATTTTTGAATAATTATGGTTGTATCGTCGTGCTTACATTTTATTCTTGAATAGATATTTCAATAAGAAAAAAAGATGAAGATGTTCCATTGACTCCGAAATTCGAAAAGATATATGCTGAACAGGAGAAAATATATACATCGTGAGATATGGAGATCAAGCACAGACAGTGCGCAGGGACAGACAACCACTTTTTTAAACTTACTGGAATCGGCCTTACGAGACCATAAGATTTCCTGTCATGGCAGTCTGTTATTTGAGTTCATCAAGCAGAAAACAAGCTAAAAATATAGATGTAGAAGGAAACAATTTCAACCAAAATTTGTTGTGTAAATTTTGTTGACCAGTAAAAGATTAACACAGATATTTAAAATATTTTATTATATATATAAGATGCCATAACTAAAAAGTAATCAACAATATAATGTCATGAAAAAATTTTAGTACCTCTACAAATACAAATTCTTCAAGGAAGGGAGATTTATTAAAAGTTTTCAAGTATTTTTTATAGATTAAACTTATAATCTAAACACTCCTTGAGAAACAATTATTAGTCAATTTCTTTGAAATTCTTCACCCTTGGGGTTTGGAAATATAATAGTAGTTATTTTTTAAAATATTTTTTATTTAAAAAAATATATTAATAATATTTTTTATTTTAAAATAATTATTTTTTAAATTAGCACATCAAAATAATTTGAAAACATTAAAAATATATTAATTTAAAATAATAAAAAAATAAATCTTTTTAAAAATATTTTTAAAATATAATATCAAACACGCCATAAGTTGTAATGTTCTTTGTAAAATCAATAAAATTATAGGACTAAATTCACTTATATCGCGGTTTGTTTAATTATAATTTGAAAAATTAAAATTAAAAATTAATTTTAAATGTTTTGTTTTGTATTTTTTAAAATTATTTTAATATATTAATATAAAAAATAATTTAAAAAATATATTATTTTAATACCTTTCCAAACAAAATATATTTTAAAAAATAATATTTACTATAATTTTAAACATGTCCTACATTTCAAACCAAAAAAAGTTGAAGTTGGGGAGTTCTCACCAACCGTATTAGAGAGTATTGAAATTGCCCGATGATTACGGTACTAACATGGTACAGGAAGTCATTCAAGTAGATATGCTTCAAAAATAACAAATAAAGCTGGGTTAGAAAAGACATTGTGGAAACTATGAAATAATCATTATAATATTTATTAATAATTTTATTGTACCTTATGTTAAAGAATGCAACTTGATTATTAATATAAACTCTAATAGTGAAAATCTTCTGCTATTGTTGAGCTTATTCTTCAATTTAATTTAATTAAGATGAAATTTTTTTCGTTCAAAACAATAATAAATAAATAATAAACAATACTTCTAAGATAAAAAAAATTATATTTACTATTAAAATATAAATAATATTATGAAAAATAGATTTAATCAGAACATAATTTATGTTTTGTTAGTTTTCGTCAAATACAAAAAATAAAGTATAAATATATTTTTATTTTTTTTAAGATGAAAAAAATATTTTTAAACTTGGAGGAATTAACAAGTTTAAAAAAACATTAATGGAAAATAAAAACTAAAAAAATAAGTAGGAAATTGAAATTGAAAAATAAAAAACATTCTATATTACTAAAAACTCCCTACGATTCTCTCTTATTCCTTTTTTCGTGGTTGATTATATTTGTTAAATATAAACTATTAAGGAACTATGGATTTTTTTAACAAAATATGAGAAGATCTTGACATGTGACAATCATAATAGAGAAAATTATAAAATTACAAGGCTACCCTGTGCTTGACATAACAAAACAATTATGCATTAGCTGGAAATTTCGAATAAATTACCCTTGTGGTTTTACATAAATGGCACCTTAGGGTTGCGCGATTGAATCGGAAAGCTCCAAAGCCTCCAACTTTTGAATTTGAAACAGCAAAGAGCCGTTGGAGTTGAGAAACACCCGTAGAGAGAATGGTGGATAGCAGGATAAAAAATGTCTCTGCAGCATTTTCGTGGGCAGATGAGGTAGAGAGAGAAGAGGAAGAACAAGCTCGATTTCAGGAGCACCAGAAGCAGAAGCCAGACCCTTTTGGTTCTGCCAGGCCCAGAGAAGTTGTTCTCCTGGAAAAGGGAATTGATTGGAGAAAACTCGACATCCATCTTCAACAACCTTCTCACAAAAGGTACTAATGTCTTCCTGTTTACTGGTACTCAAAAGTAAAGTCTTGAAAGATAGGAGGAAAATAAACTCTTAACCTTCTCTTGTTCTCTCTTCTCTTATTTGGAGATTAGTACCGATCCGATTAGTTTTGACATCTGTAAGATTTGCATATGTGGTTTTTAATGGCTAAAATATTTGAGTTCTGTTTCAATGCCCGTAGCTTGATAACCATTCAGTGTAATCATAATTATTATACAGGCAGCTGGATCCTCCTTATGGGAAGCAATGCAAGGAAAACATCCCTGCCTTTGCTGCTTCAGGCATCGAAAGGATACCTTCAGTTACCCCAAGCAAGAGCCTAAAAACTGAACTGGAAGATGCAAATTCGGAGCTGAAAAGAAGCGAAATTTTGCGGGTTCCTTTGGCTACAGAGAGCCAGATTCCTGCAACATTCGTACCTCCTCTAAGATATCCACCTAAAAATGCCATTCCTAGTTTGTCCGAGTCTGGCTTTCATTATTATCTACAGGAATTAGACAAAGGACAGCATGGTTTTCAAAGCAAGCTGCCCCTAAAGCCTGGGAAAGAGAATACATTTCATCAGCAAGTGCCACAGAAGGATCGCTGCTTTCAGAACTTGAATCAGGGAAGCCACACTCACCCTCACTATCATCGACAAATATTGCAAGCTGAGCGAAGGAGCCAGGTGGAGGATAAAATAAGTTTCAGACTGTGGCAATCGGGTGGTAGTGGCAAGAACTTGAGGAAACCAGATGCTAGTAGATTACAGCAAGATACAGATTCCGCTACTGAGAAACTTGGCAAAAACCTTCAAGGAAATGATGCAGTTAGGCAGGGGGCTAGGCAGATTTTGACAAAATCCTCTTGTGCTGGAGGTACAAACATCAAACAGAGGAATGGCCTGGAAAGATCCGTTGCTAAGAGATCAAGCGGAACAAAATTCAATGTGATTGTGCAGGTAAGAAAAAGGCGGGGGAACTAAGTGAGGAACACATGAGACTAGCTGTGAGAAAGGGTATGAAAAAAGCAGGGGAAATCTCGATTATTCAGTGCTTGCTTTCAGTAATAAATCAATCGTCCCAATAACAAAAGCACTTCAGTTGTATTATTAGCTGAGCATTACAAACCACCATTGATTTGGGCTCGATTACTCACCTAAATTTTAAGATTATGAAAGGGTAACCTGGAAATTCTCTCTTTTTTTAGAATACCCAGCAACTTTTCAGAAAATAAAATAGCATAAATGATAAAGGCATTGTCAAGTGAGGATCGGTCATCAGCCACGGATTACATTGAGTCTACAAATGTAAGATTTTTTGTCCCACCATCTGTCTTGGCACTAAGATTTTTGGCAGCTCATGTGACAGGAATAAAGAAAAGCCGTTGATCTCTATATCTCGCATCTCCGCATGCACGTACATGTTTAAACATGTGGTAGTATTTTAGTGATAGCTCACTCCTTCACCATGTACAACCTCACCAATGCGATATGCCTTGTGTTGTCCCTCCTCAAGAATTCTGCGAGATGCTTCCTCGGTCACGACCAGAACCATCCCAATGCCCATGTTAAAAGTCCGACTCATCTCAGCATCTTCTATTCTTCCAGCCTGAAATAAGAAAACAATAGAAAAGGAAATAAATACCACCGGGTCTCTATTTTTATTTACAACAAACATAACATCCAAGATCTACCAGTTAATCAAATTAAATACTCACAAGTTATTGGGTCAATCTAACATCATAATCCAGCATTTATATGTAAAACACAATTTACCTCTTGGATCCATTTGAAAAGGGTTGGGACTTCCCATGAATCCTTGTATATAAAAGCTCCAAGGCCTTTTGGGAAAACTCTTGGTATGTTATCTGTAAAACCGCCTCCAGTGATGTGAGCTATGCCCTTTACACCGCCCTTGCTAATCAAATCAAGCACCTTTTTGAAGAGGAACAGTTTTTCTTTTAGCATAAAAATGTAGTCAATTCAACAATGTTAATCATAACAACGTGAAAGGGAAACAAAACTTGAATGAAACCTGCTTGACATAGATAGTAGTTGGAGCCATAAGAGCTTCACCCAAAGTAACACCTCCACCAGGAAGTTGGTCATTCAAAGACAAGCCACTCTGAGCTAGAACCCTACAAAAATAGACAAGCATTCATCAATTAATAAGAATATTCAATGCAAGGAACTCAAAAGATCATGCCACTGTAAACAGGCATCAATGATGTTTTAATGCATGGAGAAACAAATAAGAATTCCTCAAACCAACACCAACCTTCTTACAAGAGAGAAACCATTGGAATGGACTCCACTCGATGGCAAACCAATGAGAACATCCCCGGCCGCAATGTTTTTCCCATCTATCACTGATTCCTTTTTTACAATGCCAACAGCAAACCCGCTAAGGTCATACTCACCTTCTGCATAGAAACCTGGCATCTCTGCAGTCTGGAAGGAATTTAACAAAACCATTGAGGTCGAAGGAGAGTTGTAAGTTTTGGTGAAATTACGATCACATGTAGAGGGAGGAATACGAGTCCACCAAGACTTTTAGTGTCAGCAAATTTGACCTCATAGCATGCATTAGGTAGGTCTATTCCTCAGATAGCACGACCATAATAGGACAAAATAAAGCTAATGAATAGAGGATTTCCATAATTATCTACTTATATAAGTTACCATGCCATATCCTGTTACATGATGCAACACACATATATCTAGCCTCTGACCATCCCTAGCCTAACAGACAATCTCTTCCAAACCAGCATCTTATTTTGTCAAACAAAAATTATCCCTTCAAATGTAGACGATTTCTTTGTTGCTGATGATTGTTCATGAAAAGATAATTGGGCACTTGCTATTTCAGATAAATATTTCAAGAACTCTCTGGAGTACCACCATTTCACATGAGGCAGAAACTTGTGATGGGTCAAGACAGGCCAAATGTGCTTAAAAGGATAGTTCAATGCAAACCCATCTTTCATATACAAAGATTCAGCAACGCCATATTGGTAATTGCCACTATTGTGTAAAATGACTGCAATAACCTTGTTACTGCAAAAATAAAAGCTACGGTGACTACAACGTCAATCTTCAGATGCAGCATTACACGATGCACTGAAAGGTAGACATCCACCAGTAAAATATAAAGAAAGAATACCTCTCCCCCTAAAAGAGTGCAGTCCGATTGTTGACAACCATCAACTATGCCTTTAATGACCTAAATCAAAAGAGCAGAAAAATCTTATTCAGCTGAAGTTTTTTTTTTTTTTTTTTTTTTTGCACAGATACCATATTAACTCAGTAAACCATGCAATTATCAATACCTTTTCAGCAAGGTCAACATCAAGGCGGCTTGTAGCATAGTAATCAAGAAAAAACAAGGGCTTTGCACCGGAAGTAACAATATCGTTTACACTCATAGCAACCTGCAGCAGGAGAAGTGAATTAGGAAGCAAATCAACAGCAGCAAAATGCATATAACAAGATTTATCCAGACTTTACCAGATCAATTCCAATGGTTTCATGGATTCCAGTTTCAAATGCAAGCTTTAGCTTAGTCCCTACACCATCCGTACCTGCAACTAGGTACGAATCCCCTGTGTGCAAAAACTTTAATCAGCACAATAACACAACACACACAAGGACCAAAAAAAACGTCTTAGCATCACTCTATCCCCCAGTTCCCAGTGCGTAGGCCTAGCCTATCAGGAGAAAAAAAAATTGAACTAGGCAGTCAGCATGAAAACAATCTGTAGCCTCATAGATTTTTCACAATCAATTAAGTTCACAACCAAGAGCAGAAAGAGCCATAAGCGAAGGGGAAAATCTAAAAGAAAGCATACCAAGAGGGAAAAGACCACCAAAACCACCAATCCCAGGAGCCATCTTTGCAATTCGCCGAACAAGCTCAGACCCAGCATCTATATCCACCCCAGCATCCTTGTATGTAAGTCCTCCACCAGCCCCATCACCGCTTTTGCTGCTATTTTCCTTGGACATCGAACTATTGCTTGTAGCTCTCGCTGAAAGAAGCGGAAATCTATCGGAAAAGCGATTAAATGTGCATCTTCCTATGGGTTGTTGAGTGGCGAAGGGTTTATTAGAAGAGGGTCTGATTGAAGCTGCAATCGCACGCGATAGCTCAGTGTTTGATGCTAGGCTAGTAGTAGCCATGGGAATGATGGTGGGAGGGGGACCTAAACTGGGGAGGTTGAGGCTCACCTGTATTGGTGGAGCTATGGGAAGTGGAGGAGGCGCGGGAATTGGGAAAGCAGGGGTTAACGTAGGGCTTTTCAGATGTTGGGTTGTTTTTTTATTGTTTTTTTATTTTTTTCATTGGAGGTAACTGGTAAGGGCATTATAAGTCCTCTTAACTTTTTTTTTCCTTCATAATTTTATATCTAACTAGGTATGTAATTTTAGCAAAAATAAATAAATAAATATCTAAGCTTTTAAAATTTATTTTAAAAAAATTAATTATAAATTAAAAGGCTTAACATATTTTTTTACATAAAGTAAAAAACATAATCATAAATCACAAAATCAACACTTACATATAATAAAATATAATACAATTTATATTTATTAATTAAAATATTTAAGATCTCAAGTTAATTTTTAACATAATTAAAAAATAAAATAATGTTGCATTTGCTATAGTGAAATACTATTTTCATAATTTGTGCATAATAAATTTTCAAAAACAAAAAGTGTAAAGAAAAAACAAATTACAAAAGAATAAAAAAAATGGTATAGATAGGCCAAGTGTAAAGAATAAAAAATTATTTTTTAAAAAAATATAAAGAAAACAATAAAATACTAAAAATACATTAAAATCATGAATTCAGCATGCATGTTATAATTTTTTTAAAAAGATACCAAGTATATAGACTCTTGTGTTTTCTTACATAAAAAATTAAAAGCAATATTAAAAAAATCTATGCAAAGATGTAACTTAATAAATTGATAATTATTTATATAAATAATAAAAAAAGTCATTATTAATAAACTGGTTATGTTTACTAAATTTAGTTATTTAAATAAATAAAAGATAAAAATACCTTAAAAAGCTTATGGCTTAAATGATAAATATAAAAAAAATGATTGAATAAACCTATGTAATAAAAGGTCGAACACATCAAAAAAATATTAAGAATGGACATTTGTTAATATGATGAAAACATATAAAAAAAATCTCGAGTGAACCCCATAACCAACCCGAGTGAATAAATCTAACATGTGACTTAAACGTTGAAATTGGAACAACCCCATAAATACAAAGCAAAAAAATACTAGCAAAAAAGATATTTGAAAAGATGCTTTAAAAAAGATCAAAGTTGATCCGAGCTTATCTTTTAAATCCATGACTTAAGTCATCAGACCAGGGTAACCATATTAAAGGCAAATCTGAAAAAACAAAAAAGTAAAATTCTTAACCAAACAAATATTAAGGGGTGAAATTAAAGGGAAAAATCAATCAAAATAACAATGCAAAACAAACAAAATAACAATTAAAAAAAGGATTAAATTCAACATAAAAACCAACTGAAATTAAATATTAAAAAAAAAATGAAATTAAATATTTAGGGATGGAATTAAAAAAATCAATAAAAAAATAACAATTAAAAGAATTGACACCAAACTTGACATAAAAATTCAATGAAAAGAAATGTTTAAGGATGAAATTGAAGAAAAACATGTAAATCAAAAGAAAGATTGAAATATATAAAAATAATAATCAAAAGAAAGAACCAAATTTAATAAGAAAAACTAACAAAATTAAACAATTAGGCACGAAATAAAAAATGAAATCATAGCAATTAAAAGAATGAGAACTAAATTTAATAAGAAAAACTAACAAAATCAAACAATTAGGGACGAAATAAAAAATAAAATATAATTAGAAAAAAATCAATATAAATATATAAAAAATTACAATTAAAAGAAGAAAAATTGAATTAAAAAAAAATAAAAATTGAAAAGCTGATATAATTTTTTTCATGAATAGTATGTAATCTAAAGAAGAAAAGGAAGAAAAACAAAAAAAAAAAAAAGCAATTTAGCACTAACCACACTTCACTGCTATAGACACATCACCTAGAAAG